GGAATGTGGGGTAGAAGGGGGGAACCAATTACAAGAATCTAAGTATAGACTCCTCCCTGGGGGATGGACAGAAGAGAGGAGGGTGGGGGGAGCTGTTGGACAGTGTAACATATGACAAAACAATACTAATTTATGAATTATGAAGGGTTCATGAGGGTGGGGGAGGGGGGAGGGAGGGGGAAATGAGCAGCTGATATTAAGGGCTAAAGTAGAAGGCAAAAGTTTTGAGCATGATGAGGGCAACAAATGTACATATGTGCTTGACACAATGGATGTATGTATGGATTGTGATAAGAATTGTACAAGCCCTCGATAAAATGATTAAAAAATCCATATACATATGAAATATTAAAAGATGGATATAGATATATATAAAAAATCTAGCTTCAAGAAAAGTGTTCAGGCAAAACAAAAAGTTCAGGTAAAACCTTAGCTCTGGGATGATTTAGAGTTTGGGTTTTGCACAGTAGTCTCTGAAGCAATGGCATTAAACGACTGTCAGGAATTTGATCTCTGCTTCATTCTTAGTGTCTCTGTTAGTTCCTGTCTAGAAGACTCAGAAAATGAGCACAAAGAAACATTGTTTGGGGCTGCATGGTTGGTTGCCATTGTGATCCTTACGGTTTATGTTGGCTAGTTTTGGGAAGCCAAGGGCCAAGCCTTTTTTTTTTTTTTTTCCTTTTCTCTGTCTTAATCTGGAGGCCTTTTAGAACCTGTTAAGCACCCAACAACAGAGAACCCATCTTTGACAGAAGATTCATGTGTGCATAGGGGCAACATTCTAATACTGAACCCCTGCAGTCCCTGGGCCATCACAATGGAGGTGTCCACTTAGGCAAAGTGCTTCACTTCTCTCTGATTCTTCAGCTGTGAGGTGGGGCTGGCGATACTGGGGTGGTTTTGGACTAAAGGAGCTTCTTAACACTTACTTTTAAATCAAAATCTGGCTTACAGTAACGAGTGATAGAAAAAGCAGGGTATATATATTAGGATTTCCCACCCATTTTTTTGGTAAGGCAGATTGACAGCCTGAGCAAAGCGCATATACGTATTGGTTGGAGCAAGAAAGAAGTGAGGCAAATACTAAGTTTAAATCAATCGCATTACGTGAACACAGAAGATGGAACTATTTTCCCCCAAATTGTTTTGATTGCTGCCAGTAGCTGCTATTTGGTATGAAATCCATTCAGATCATCAAAAGCCAAAGACATACGGTGCATAAAAAGATGTTGTAATTGGCACCATTGTAACTCTATACGGTGTGTGTGATCTTAGCTGGGAGGAGGGAAGGTTGTAGGATAACTCGTAATCTAATTCTCTTTGTTGTAAAATAGAATGTTGCCATTGTATTCCTGTCGAATAATAATTATAACATCTCAGACAAATAGTGCGCCTTTCTCAGGAGGTGCTTAAAGAGCTCAATAGATATTCATTCAGCCTTGTAAACATAGTAAACCTGGCTTGCTTGCATTTCTCTCAACTGAAAATTCCTATTAACTAGCATCTCCCTTCATCCATCCTACAGGGATAAATGATTTTTATGCTGATGAATTTTACACCCCCAGAGACACACAAGTGCCTTCTGAATCATCAAAGAAAGATGAAACCTTTAGTAGAGTTTTAGTGTTAATTGCAATTTATGACAGCCTAATTTTTTGAAAAGTGGTAATTCATGTGTTGCATAGATGATAATTAGTTGCAATAGTTGATTAATCAGGCGGCTCTATTTTCTGACCATCCTGAGTTACAGAGTTTACAATAACCACAATGCCTGAGCTCCCTGCGTGAGCCCCAAAGGAAATAGGGTAAATGGAAGTGCTGTTCTTTATGGCTTGGCAGGCACAAATTATTACTCATTCTTGGAAAATGATCAGTTTCAGAGCTTTATTTTTCAACTTCTACATGTTCTTCTAAACTAAATTGGAAGAGAAAATAGGTAAGTTCTTAAAGTAGATTGTATTTGCCTCTTCCGTCTTTATTATCCCCAGGATAATGCCTATTGTTGGCAATTAGACTGTTAGCTCTTACAGCAAAGGAGAGTGTCTATAAAACTAAACTTTGAAAAAAAAATTAAAAAAAACACAAAAAAACAAAAAAAACTAAACTTTGGATGATACTTAGTAGAGCCTATTGCTTAAATATAAGCAGCTGTAGTGGCACAGCTGGTTAAGTGTTGGATTGCTAACCAAAAGCTCAGCAGTTTGAACCTACTAGCTGCTCTACAGGAGAAAAATGAGGCAGTTGGCTTATGTACAGATTAACAGCCTCAGAAACCCTGGGGGGTGGGGAACATTCGTCTTTGCCAATTGGAATTGATTATACCACAGTGCATTTGGTTTGGCTGGTCCAAACATGAGATTGCTCATGGAAGTACCAATGTGTCACGTTTAGTTTGTGCTAAGTAGTCCAATCTAAATGTCTTGTTAAAAGGAGGAGATCTTAAATTAGTTCAGACTAGTGGATCACTTTACCAAAAAATCCAAACTCTTAATCAGAGGACCTTTAACAAGCAGTTTGGTATTTTCTTCTGGTTCTTTACAAACTAGGACACTCAGGAATGCTTAATGAAGAAAGGGGAAAAAAGAGATGCATAATTCTGTCACCCGGCGAGGACTACCATGGTTTGTTTGGTGGCTTTTCTTTCCGATTTTCCTCATGTACTCATCAGTTTACAAAGTTATGCCATAGCATAAATAGTATTCCTGACCAACATTATATAAAGGGTGTTTTCTAGGCCACTAAACACTGTTTCAAAACATACTTATGACTGATTCTATTGAAGATACACATTAAACCAATATCCTCGTGTTGGACTTCAGATCATTGACAAATCGTGGTGTCATAGTGTTATACAAGTAACTTTGTCCACTTGCTTGCCTGAGTATTACATGCCAGCCTCTGGGCGAGGAGCTGAGCATGCATCATTAATTATAACCCTCTTAATAGGGGTTTTTATTACTATTATCACTATGGGAAAAACATATAAATTGTTTATTAGTATTAGTATAATAATCATATTGTTATATGTGAGTATAATTAGTATAATGGTTATACCAATAAATTAGTATGATACTAGAAAATAAATTCTTCCCACATTCCTATGAGAAGATAGTTATTATTTCCATGTCCAGATGAGGAAATGGAGGCGCAGAGAATTGCAGCAACTTCCCCAGAAACACCCAGCTAGTAATTAATGGAGCCGGTTTAAAACCCAGGCATCCTGACTTCAGTCTTGCTCTCCTAACTACTGTGGCTCCGATGCCAGTGGAAAAGATACTCACTCGTACCTAAAGGCAAGGACATCAGATCATATGAGATGAGGAGGACTCAACACAGTGTTTAGTGTTTTGAATATGAATGGCACCTCATGAGAAGGAGCCTGGGTGACTTCTACAAGCCTCCAGCTGACAGCCAGCAAGGAAACCTAGACCTCAGGCCTACAGCTGAAATGAAGACCCTTAATGTGCCATTTGATCTCTTGATTGTTTTTTCCATGAGCATTGATTATTGCCCCAAGCAAGACAAAATCCAGCTTTAACCTTCTCTACTGGTCCAGTTGTGAGGATTTGGTTTTCTTTACAATGCGTTGTAATTCATACTGAAGCTTGTAACCCTTGATCTTCATCAGCAAGTGCTTCAAGTCCTCCTCATTTTCAGCAAGCAAGGTTATATCTGCATATCAAAGGTTGTTATAAACTCCTGGTAGCACAGTGGGTATGTGTTGGTGTTGGACTGTGATCCCAAAGGTCAGCAGTACAAAACCACCATCTGCTCTTTGAGAGAAAGATGAGGTTCCCCCTTCCCCCAAACATATATTTTTTCCAAAGCTATATATTTAAATTATTTTTATAAAACCATCTTATCATGTTCAAAGCACTCGCCATTACACTTAACAGATTTGCCAAATCTTCAACTCCATTCTTGGAAACATTTTTCAAACTCATTTGTGTGGATGGCTCACAGCACCTCCCTCCATTTTTTCTTCACCTCTTCTATGTAATTAACTCGCTGTCCAAGGAGAGGGTTTTGATGAAGGAGCTTATCTGGTCCAGCCCCTGTGCTTACCTTTCTTTCTAGGGCTTTTTTCTAATAGGTGTTAATGTGAGAATAGGAGAGATTGCTCTTTGAAGAGAGGGGTGGGGCTGGCCTAGGCCTGTGGGGGAGACTCTGGCCTGGGTCAGCCAACGGATGCAATCAGTCGCCTTTCCTAACTCCCCTGGCACGAAGGAGTGGAAAACTGGGAAAGTGGATCATTCAGGCCAGCTCTCATAAGCATTCAGACCCTTCTCCTCTCCTGTGGGCTTGCCCTTACGGCATCTGCCCCAGCCAAGCCGCGTCGCTGGAATCTCCATGGCCAGGGGTGGGCCGGCCCAGTGTGCGCGCCATGGCGCTTTGCCCGCCGGCTGCCCTTGCCCATGCCTGGCCGCCCGTCCTGCGGCGCGGTTGGCCCTCCCGTCACCCCCTCGGCGGGGCCCTTCCCTTACTGTGGTCCTAGTGACATTCAGCGGGCAAGGCCAGCGCAGGCGGCAGCGCGCCCTGCTCCTGTAGCGCTGGAGGCTCGCTTCGCGCACGGGGATGCGCGCCCCTCGCGCGCCCTAGGCTGCAGCCGGGCGGGCTGGCAGGAGGCGCGCTTCCCTGGCCGGTCCCGCGGCGGGCAGCCCCCGAACCGCGCCCCGGGCTGCCAGGTGAGCTGCGCACAAGCGCTCGCATCCCCCGGGCTTTGGCGCAGGGAAGGACGGAACCGGCGCTGCGGGCGAGACCCTGCCTACTGCTCGTATATGGCAAAGTTTCTCGCCGAGCTCCTGGGCTGCACACTGCCGAGCAAGGGCGCCTGTCCCATGTTTGAGGTAGGTGGAGGGTGTGTCCTCGCAGGGGTGTGCCTGCGGGCCGGGTGACCCCTGGCCCGGGCACTGGGTCCCCGGGACTCGCCAAGTGTGCAGTCGTACTTGGCGTGGTTTCCACCTGGACCACGAGGGTAAGGCCTGGGAGAGGAGGGGGAGGAGGCTGAAGCCAGGGAGCCTGAATGCATCTCTCCTTGGACCTTACTGATTTCCCCCTACCCTGACCCCCCTTCCTTGACAGGTGAGCGCAGTCTCTTTCCGCTGGGAGTTTTGTGAGTTGCCCTTATCCTACCACGCAAGCCATAGCTTTGAAAACCAGTCGTTCTCTGCAGCCCCGTCTTTCCATTCCAGATAGAGAGATGAGAAATAATTCACAGTAAACTCTTCAGGCCAAACGATTTCTACTTTCTCACCCCTGCCAACTACCATCCCCCCACCTTCCGCCACCCCTAGCACCCCACAGACTCCCTTTCAATGAGCTCATTTCTTCATGCCAGCAGAGCACCTGGAGGATGAGAAGGGGTTAACACAGGTTTTGCCAATTCAGGTGAATACATAGCAATTCTGAAGGCAGGTAGGTACTTCTAATTGCTCACACCTGCCCGAGGCGGCAATGGTGCTGGCTGTAAGCGTCTCCTCGAGGAGGGCTCCTTTATGCAGAGGCTGTTTGTCCTTCTGCGGAGCGGTGGCTTCAGCTGTGCTCTGTGAAACTGAGGGAGGGACCCTCCTGGCGCACAGAGCACAGCTCCCTCTCCCTCTAGCTGCTGTCAAAATGGAGAGCCCCTTTGTTCCTCTGGACCCCAGCAGTCTGCAGACACGTAGGCTCAGACCACAGGACCACATCTGGTGGTGGCAGGTTAATGAGGGTTGCAATGTGTTCTCAATCCTCAGTCACAGGGGCCTGGCAACTTCTCTGACATCTCTGGACCCCACCCCCACCCCCCACCCCCCAGAAGCTCTCTCAGTCCTTCCCTGCCTGCAGTTTCCTGACTCAACAAGAAGTAGGACTTGGTGTCTTCTCTCTGGGGAGCCAGGAACTTGTCCCTCCATGAGGCAGCACTTCAAGGGAACTCTGAGAAGCTGCAGCTCGCTCTCTTCTGGCTTTGGGCAAAGGCAGGCCTTCTGGAAGGTTTATCACTGCGTTCTTTGGACTTTGGTGTTTAAATTGCCTAAGGTGCTGCTGGCAGAAATGTTGGGTTTTGAGCAGGAAGATCCCAATAGCAAGCATTTTGGGAAAAACAAGACAAAATAAAAACAACAGAGGATTAGAAAGACAGTGTGAAAGAACAGTAGCCTGTAGCTTAAAAAAAATAGAATAAAGGAGAACCCCCCCGCCCCCCCGAAGAAAACAAAATTATCCAAGCTATGGTTAAAATTAGCTGCGTTTCCTGGCCTGTGGTGTCAGGGCCCACTTGATCCTCTGTGAAGTAAACGCGAGGCAGCATTTAGAAGTCATTCTGAAGACCAGACAAGCGCTTTTACATTGATGCTTCTCTTTGACCTCCTCTTCACCTGGGCTTGTCAAGTCGCTTTAGGGGTATGTACCGCCCCCTTTTTACCCGCAGCCAATGAACGCTCTACTCTTGACTCCGAACGACTCCAAGGAGGAGAGCCCTTCAATACCTATTTAGACAATTTACAAAAAGAATGGCTGTTTCGTCTTTGGAGAGTTCCAGGGATAGAAATATTCCATGGTCCTGGGTAATTCCTATCTCTTGTTCTGTATTATGACGCGCACCCACAACGCAACAACTACAACCAAACTCACTGCCAGCACTTCGATTCTGACTCAACAGGAACCCTATTGGACAGCATAGAACTGCTCCTGAGGGTTTTTGAGACTGTAACTCTTCATGGGAGTAGAAAGCCTCATCTGTCTCCCAAGGATTGGCTGGTGGTTTTGAACTGCTGACCTTGTGGTTAATAGCCCAATTTATAATGACTATACCACCAGGTTCCTAGGTAGGAGTTATTGTAGCATCTGACCACTGAATCAGCCAAAAACACTGCACTCAGCTCTCATTTTTAATCAGTGATGTCGTAGAAGTCAAGTGACACTCCTCCAATCTATGAGGAAAATCAGTCCAAAGAGATGAAGGTGCTCACCAGGAATGTGCCTAGGGTTGCTTGCATCTCAGGATTGGCAACAGCCCTTTCAATAAGTAGAAAGGTAGCCCTGGAGTGTCCTACATCTGGGAGGGAGAGACGTGCACGAGAAAGATATTCTTAAACCTTTCTAAGTATTCATTCGGAAAAGTGGAAGTGCTAGAACACTTGAGAGAATTTTAGGCTGCTTTTCATTTTCACCCAACGCTCTAATTTCATCATTGGAGGTTAGTTTTTGTTTCTGGGAGGCCTGGAGGAGAAATGAATACTTGTGTAATGACTGGCCTAAGGTTTCATTTCGGTCAGGCTGAACATAGGGTTGACAGTTCCAACCCACCAGCTGCTCTGTGAGAGAAAGGCGTTCTCCTCCTGCCTTGGGAGCGAGCTCTCAGGGGCAGCTAGACTCCGTCCATAGGGCCATTGTGAGTCAGAACTGACATGATGGCAGTTCGGCTTTGATCTGGTGGCAAGAACATAATTTCTTCTTATATAGGCCAGTTAGGTTTGCCGAGTCCCGCTCAGAGATTGAATCCTAATAGGGTCTTGCAACTGGCTGACAAGGGGCAATGAGTGGCAGGCTGAGAAGAATACAAGTCACTATGGTTGAAAGAAACTCCAGAACCTGTCTTCCTTCATCCTCCTCCTCAGAAGAGGACAGATGATGAACTTTTGAATCACAGAATGATTATTTATGACTTTTGGGGGGCATTTATTTCTTCTTAGTATTTCATTTACAAGACCAAGTCTTTGGAAGACAATTTTAAAACTTCAAGATGAACGCAAAGGATAGTAAGCTTATCCCCGGAGTCATGCTACTGTTCTGGGCATTGGGATGGATTTTTCTTTTTCTCATCCAGGAAGCCCATCTTTCCCCGCCCCCTCATTGAGGACTTTCTGCTTTTTCATGGACCCCCGTACTTGGCCATCCACGGTGTTATTTTCCAGGGATCGATCTCTTCTGATAACATGGCCAAAGTACACTTGACAAATCTGACCATCCTCACTTCTAAGGAGCATTCTGGCTGTATTCCTTCCAAGGCAGGTTTATTTGTCCTTCTGGCAGTCCATGGTGTATTCTTCGCCAACACCGTAATGAAAATGCCTCAATTACTCTAGTGTCTTCTTTATTTACTGTACAATATTTGTATCCATATGAAAATACCATGACTTGGGTCAAGCGCACCTTATTCTTCAAAGTGACTACTTTGCTCTTTAACACTACAAAGGGGTCTTGTAGTGCCAATTTGCCTGGTGCAATATGTCTGTCATTGGATTTCTTGACTGATGCTTTCATGAGCATTGTTTATGGATACAAGTAAAATGAGATCCTGGAAAACTTGAATCTTTTCTCTGTTTACCATGATGCTGTTCTTTGGTCCAATTGTGAAAATTTTGATTCCTTTACTTCGAGTTGTAATCCATGTTGAAGAATTGAAGTTCTCTTGGCTTTCAGCAAGCAAGGTTGTGTTGTCTGCATATGGCAGGTTGTTTTCTGATTTTAAACCATTCAGTAGCCTTTTGTGGTCTCAAAGGACCACTTCTTGGTCTATGTTCAGGTTCCTCATGAGCACAATTAAGTGTCCTGGAATTCCTATTCTTCACAGTGTTTTATAGTTTGTTGGTCTACATAGTCGAATGCCTTTGCAAAGTCAATAAAATATAGGTAATATAAATAAATTACACATAGATGTCTTAATAGTTTCTGTTTTTAGTCAAGATCTACCAGAATTCAGCAATGTATTCATGGTCCTACATCATCTTTTGAATCTGGCTTGAATTTCTGGCAGCTCCCTGCTAATATACTACTGCAACCAGTTTTTAATTATCTGCACAAAATTTCACACACATGTGATATTAATGATATTGTTTACAATTTCCCCATTACTCATTAGTGTTTAGAGTCATACTTAATGAATGTTAATTGTTGATGTTGCTGCCTGTGTCTATGAACTCTTCAATATTGGGAATATTGTATGCTTTTTACCCCCTACCACCCTATTTGGTGCATAGTTTTGCATCAAATATACTGAATTTGATTAAATAAAGTCTAATGGACTAAATTGACCTTCCCACCCCAAAGTTTCATGATGTTCCTGGTCATTGAAGCACTTATCGCTTAATTTTAATTCAAATTAGCTAGACATCTTATAACTACGTCCTGTGTTTTATTTTCCTTTTTCAGCCTGTGTTTTTGGTTAAATCTGGCTATCTTGCTTTGCCTTCTTCCCTGATCTGCCTTGACCCCTAGAGTTCAGTTACATTTGGAACACTGGTTCACGTCCTTGCTACAGCCCTCACTCTGCCAGAGACCCTACCGACCCTAGAGAAGCACCAGCAGGGGACTGTAGCCGGGCAGACTGGCCCCGGCCATACTTGTCTGGAGCGATGGCATGAACCAGTTTCCACTGCAAGTGTCAGTGCTGAAACGGAGAGCATTGTAACTGCCATAGTCTTTCTTCCTTCTCTGTGTGTTCAGGCATTCATTCGACAATGCTCATCACCCACTGATTTTGTGCTACATGCCCCATGAAAGCCTTGCTTAGAGATAGTGGTTTTCAAATTGTTTTGACAGGGACCCGCCCTAAGAAATATATTTGCATTGGCATCCCGAATACACTTAGGGATTTGTACTTATACAACTCTAAGGATGTTTTAAGAGGAATACGTTTCCTTGTGACATGGGATGTGCCCAGGTCTCTGTAATCCTAGTTTTTCCTTTCCAATCCATTTCTTCTGTACCATTAAAATATAGATGGGTAAAGACTCACTAAATTGATTTCATGGGTTATGACCACAATTTGAAAAGCATTGCTATATAGGATAGCGAGAATATATTTTTATAGAACAATTTATATTGTCTCATTATCCCAGTACTATGCTTATACATTGTTATAATATGC